GAGAAAACCAATCTCTGAAACTATATATCCTTTTCTGCGATAATCGAGAAAAATTGTAACAGATTATATACACCCTGTATAAATTCTTCACAAACCTTGGAGAAGCAAAAAGAATATACGAAAAATTATACCCTTTTCTCATTGTAACTTAACCAATATTCGAGTTTTCCTGAACAGTGATCGATATCCATACAATGACTTATATTTGAGTTTCAATGACAACAAAACTTCACAGCTATACTCGATATTTACAAATTTCAGACCATCTTATTACGGATCTGGAAAAGAGCCAATATATTCACCGAGAGAATTTGCTGAAATCATACCAATGTCACACATAGACTGTTCACATCAAGAAGAGTCCACCCAAAGTGGGTCTGTTGTGATGAGAATAGAGTTTGAAACATCTGAAGCAGTACCAGATGATACAACAGCATATCGTCTCACATCGCATGATAAGTTGTTCAATTATAGTCCTCTCACCAAAATTGTCAAACAGTTGTGAAAAATCCCCACTTCAAAAATAATTATTTAAGAGGAACCACTTTGCTAAAGTGTCAGTTATTACTTGAACATTGCAAGATGAAGCTGTTTAGTATCGATATTCAAGGGTACCAGATATCCAACGAATTCTACCCCAAGGAAATATCAATTCCGAATGGCTTTCAATTGAGTCATCACTTATTCAAAACAGCTATTTCCTTTGGTGCACTCCAGTAAGCGGATAAGAAACAAGTGAGGTGGTTGGAACATAACCACCATGGACTCAAATACAGCTCAGGGTTCATAGATTACGAGAAATTGAATGAAATATTGCAAGATCATCTCAGAGATGTTGACCTTGTATAAGTGAGAGGACACCAAGAATTTCAATTCCTCACTTCATTGTGTTTACCAACTAGTAGACCCAAAATTATCAACATCGAAAATTTAGATACCTTCATGCACACAGTGACTTTCAAGGCCGACATTCCTCTATGCATGCATCACGAAAACAATGATCCGCACATGTGCAGTTTTAGAAACTGTTAAGACTTGCACAATTGGATAAATAATCTCCTACCACAATAAAATTCTCATTTGTATATTGCTAGTCAATATGATAGCCAATTTGATCAACGAATATATTCAGAAATTAAGAATTCTTAAAGAACAAATCCACATTTACGAATGTACAACAGGAATAAAAAACTCCATGTTGACAAACACCTCATCCCGACAGCACAACGGACCGATCCAAGGGCAGGCTTTAGTGAGGCGATCGCAGTACAACTGAATAACCTCAAATTATAGTATATTTATGAATTAATGTTTTTTAAATGAATAAGTTGTTTTATTTACCGAGTACATTGATATAATCTTTGAGAAAATATCTCAGTACTTCATTAGTAATGGCAGTGTTGAGGTCAAATTTTCTGGTTCTATTAAATATTATACATGATATAATGTATATAGATCAACCATATAATGCTTAAAAATATCTTCATTTGCTTCGATAAAAATGGTGTGAAAAACGATAGCTGGCCTTCAGAATGGACTGAAATGTCACCAACGATAATGAACAATGGACATATATTCACTTTGATGGCAGACGTACCAGAAAATGCAAGTGTATATAAATTGAGAATTATTTCCAAGATCAAAGTGTGGGAGACTCAAGAAAGTGGCAGAATCTTCATAATTCTGAAAAATCTATGTCACCAGATTCCTACTTTGAAATAAGCTGTATTATATTGATGAATCTGTTATTCACAATAGCGATAATAGGTACTTTCTTTTACTTATATTATTAAAAAAAACACACACATTCTTTATTCGAATTGGAATAACTTTGTGACTTGCGAGACCTTTCGTGTGATACCTTTAAATCCCCACTATTCGGCCCCTTTGGTCCTTCAAAACTTGATTTTCGAAAAGTTGAAAGCCAAATCTCCAAAATGGTGTGCCATAACATATAGTTGAGCTAATCTTCACTATTTGGCCTTTTGGTCCTTCAAAGGTTAATTTTCGAAAAGTTGGAAGCGAAATCTTCAAAATGGTATGCGATAACATATAGTTGAGCTAATCTTCACTATTTGGCCCTTTTGGTCCTTCAAAAGTTGAATTTCGAAATCATATTGTTGGAGCCGCACCGCCCATCTGGCGATCCTGCCAACCGGGTCCTTGATGTTATTAAGCAACTTGAGACTGTGGTGGTCGGTGATTACACTAAACCTCGTTCCTTCTACATAAGGTCTAAGCTTCTCAATAGCGAACAGCACCACCAGGCATTCCTTCTCGGTGGTGCTGAACTTCCTTTCCGTGGCCCGTTAACGATCTACTCGAGTGACAGATCACCTTCTCCCCTTTCTCGGAAACCTGCGGGAGTACAGCCCCAATACCGTAGTCCGATGCGTCGGTTTGTATCACGAAGGGCAGCTCGGAGTTTGGACATGAGAGGACGGGCGCGGTGATCAAATGCTCCTTGAGAGTGCGGAAGGAATTCTTTTTCAGCAGCGCACAGAGGGGTGAAGTAAGGGAGGAAGAATTTGGCACAAAGCGCCTGTACCAGGAGGCCAGTTCAATAAGTCTCCTCACCCCGGTAACAGTACGTGGTGGGGGAATCTTAAGGATTGCCTCTACCTTCTCAGGATCCACCATCAACCCTGAGGGGCCCACGACATAGCCCAGGTATTTGAGTTTCGCCTTGCAAGAGTGACATTTATTCTTATTCAGCGTCAGGCCCGCGCCCGCTTGTCGGGCCAAAACCTCTGTCAGAATATGAAGATGTTCATCGAAGGTGTCTGTGCATATGATGACGTCATCAAGGTAGACGAAGACATACTGTTCTAAATCTACCCCGATAACCCAATCGATTAACCTTTGCCATGTTGCAGGAGCATTGTGAAGGCCCATAGGCATCCGGGTAAACTGGAAGAGCCCCCGATTGGGTACAATGAATGCGGTCAGTGGTTTTGACTCGGCCGATAAGGGAATCTGCCAGTAAGCAGATTTGATGTCCAAAGTGGTCAAATAGTGCGCATCCCGTAGCTTATCCAGGGTAGCACTTACTAAAGGCAGAGGGTAGGCGTCCTGTTTCGTGACCTTGTTGAGCTGCCGGAAATCTACCACAAATCTGTAATGACCGTCATCTTTTCGCAGCAACAGAATAGGCGAGGCCCTAGGGGAGGACGAGGGCTCTACTACTCCGTCAGAGAGCATTTGATCCAACTCAAGATGCACCTGCTTCAATAGTGCTGGAGATATCGGGTAATATCGCTGACGAAGAGGGAAAGAGGTAGTCTGGATGACATGAGAAACTGAGTTGGTACATCCTAGTTTAGTCCCCATAGAATGAGAAGTTGCCTCAATCAAGGCATCTTGCTGTCGGCGTCGAACGTCCGATAGAGTACTGATAGAATTCAGATACTGTTGTCCCGACTCCTCCTCCTCCGAGTTCCGGAAACTCCATTCCCCCGAGAACATGTCCGGAATGATTCGCATCCTTGACCAGAAGTCCATACCAAGTATAAGAGTATGTAAAAGAGAGGAAACTACCAATATCTCGAGAATTTTCACCTCACCACATAAGTTCACTGGAACAGCAATCATCCCCGCTACGGGACAGCTGTGTCCATTAGCAACCGTGCATTGCTGCTCTGAAACCTCTTGTAGTCGATAGAACGGTTCAAGAATTTTCCAACCTCTCTCTCAAAAGAGTGCGAGTGAAGTTCGAATCCAATAGGGATAGGAACTTTTGGCCCAAAATATCCACCGTCAGATATGGCCTCGTATCACCCTTTGCGTGAGCGAGCACGTAATCGATGATTACGGAAGTTCTTTGATCGACCGGGAGGATAGTAGTTGAGAGGTCTACCCACCGGCTTACTGGTGACCTCTTCTCGGGTTTTTTGAGCAGTTGGGACATGAGTATGAGACTGTGTCCAACCGTCCGCACTTGAAGCAGAATTTCCGACGGGGCTGAGAACATTGACGAAATTTATGTTCAGAACTCTGGCAGTTTCAACACTTCGCAGGCTGATTCGTCATCGCGTCGATGTTCAGCTCACTTGAGGGGTTCGAACCAGGCATCGGGTGGCGGGAGGTAGTTGCTGAGGCCGTGACCGCACCCTCACTTCGCACCGAAGAAAGTTGGTTTGGGGTTCTACGCCGGTAAGCCAACTCAGGTTCGAGAAGGTTACGCACATTCGTAGAGGGTGGAGTGAATTTGTCCACTCTCCACTCCGTCTCTTCAATTGCTCGACTGAGTCGAACCAGTTCCGCAATTGTGGTGATTCCACACAAAGAAAGCTGTTTCTGGATATGGGGCAACAGATTCCTCCTCATTAGGTTAACTCGGGTAGGTTCTGAGGGCAACCTGGGCATTTTCCTGAACTTGTTTTCCATAATAGACACATAGTTTATAATCTTCTCCTGAGCACCCTGAGTTCTTCTTCTCAGTTCATCCCACAACCCATATTCATAGGCAAACGGTTGAAATGCCTCCCTCAATCGATCGGCCAGTTCATCCCAGGAATTAAACCGTCCAGTGCGGTACCAAAGGAGGGCCTCGTGTGTTAACAGCTCTGGAGCGGACCGGAGAAGTCGATCTTTCGAAACCTCGCGGGACAACCGAAGCTCCTCTATCCGCTCAAGGAAATCTTTGACACTAGTCCTCCCATTGAACTGTACCTCCCAGCGATCTACTTGACTCCACTGCTCCTCGGCACGTTGCCGTACGTTGATGCCGCTTTGGGGGGGCTGCAATCGAAGATTATAGAATTTATCGGCCAGTATTGGGGAATAATCATCGCCATTCAAGTCATCCAGTTGTGATGACTGGTTTCTTGTGGCAAACCGGGTTGACCATGTCGAGTTGGCCGGAAACTGGTCCTCCTCCTCCGCAAACCTAACGAACATCGGGTTCCGACTCTTCGGCAGTATTGATTCTCTAAGGTGAGCCTGACTCTGGCTAGACGGGACCGGAGGATTGAGGGAATTAGCTCCCGTGAAGCTTGTTGCTAGGGAGAAGGTTGAGGGCCTGTCCGAGGGCCTGAGGGAGACGTGAACAAAGGTCCTCCTCCTCTGGATGGAAATCTGTCAACCACATCCCCTGACTTGATGCCACCTTCTCCATCTGTCAGATCAATGAGATCGTACGAAATGGAAGGCTCGAGAGGAGAGACCGTGTGCTCCACTGGGTTATCCTCGTCCAGTATAGACCGCGATCCCTGATCATTCGAGCTAACTCTCCTGTCCATTCGTTGGCTAACTGATAACCCCTCAAAAGCTTAGTTCAGGTCTCCTATCATCTGTGAACATCTCTGGATGAGCACGTTCCTATAACCCTCTCGATCACCGTTGCCTCCCCTCAACCGTTGAAGACGGAGGGAGACATGTAGCAACCGCGAATATATGCGCGCAAATTCGTTATCTCGGTTTGAGTGATCAAAACCCCTAATGGCCTGTTGGAGTTCCAGTATCTTCCGTTCAGTTATCGAGATCTCATTATCTGGATCCAACCTAATCGCCACTGGAGCTTGAGCAGTATTTTGACGTTCCAATCTGAATACCTCGCTCAACGCTGTTCTCTTTTCAGCCACATTGTTTCCTATCGGCAATCCTCGTATTTGGGGTTCGTATGTCAGTTCATCCCCCAAAAGACGATTAACTTCCATGATTCTAATTATCTTTCATTCTTCCCATGAAATCGAGTAGTCCCAATCAAGAATTCTACGCAATTCGTAGATAAAAATAGTTGCTCGGAAATTAATTCCACGAAGTGAACCCAACCCCCTCTAAGAACAACCCAAAACCACCTCAAAGTAACCCCGTCCCCCGTTATCTTTACTTTCGTGAAGAGAAGGAAACTCCGAAATCTCCAACCCTCCTAAAAGATAGTTGAAAAAAAAAACTGTTATTATTTATATATATACCCTGTATAAATTCTTCACAAAACACGGAAAATCGAGAAAACCAATCTCTGAAACTATATATCCTTTTCTGCGATAATCGAGAAAAATTGTAACAGATTATATACACCCTGTATAAATTCTTCACAAACCTTGGAGAAGCAAAAAGAATATACGAAAAATTATACCCTTTTCCGAAATATCTGAGAAAAGGAAAGTTACAATTTATGTACACCCTGTATATCTATATACTTTTTTCAAAAACCAGATATTGCGATCTCTTATATACCCCTCGTATACCAGACCTTGAATACCTCTGTCACCTAATGACCACATGACCACAACACCTTGTGTAGGTATGACCTCAATGCTCTGAAATTATGAATCTGAAGTACGCAATGCTCATCTGCACCAACAAATCTGGAATCGTGGAAAAACCATCGGCGATATCATACCATACCTGTCCGCTCAAGCTCAAGTAAATCCAAATCACTAACCGAAACGAGGGAAAAAATAGTAAGATAATGACTAAGATAAACCTCAGTTGAGAGTTGCTTGCTGATCACCCTGTATAAACAGATCCGAACACGTTTGGGCGCCAATTTTGTTACCCCTCGGTACTCGAGAGGCGACAAAAGGATGGATTCTTGCCCGGGGAATTCCTTTTGTTGAGTTTCCGTATTTTCCACGATTGGAAAATAGATATTTAGAATACAGCTCAGGGAGAGGGGTGGGTAGAATAAGTTGAACACTGAATTTCGTGAATGGCAACTCTCAAGTGACGTTTATTTAGTCTGATTTATTAATGATCTAAGGATCTAGCACGGAACCACAGAATAAAAAGGTCTGTTAATCTGTGACAGCCCACGAATGGTCATCCGGCAACACTGCTCGTACAAACGCTGACAACTGACAATTGCGATGCTTCAACTTCAAATGACTGTCACGTTCACGTTTCAATTCATACGTCAAATAGCAAAGGCAACCATATTCTTGTAAACAACAATAATTGAACCTGATAAACATGCAAGAACAAAATAATAATTACGTGAGACAGATGATTTGGATGAACTATTCTTATGGTTCTATTCAATTATCAATCCAGCTTAAGGATCCAAGATAATGATGGCACTCTATGAATTTCATTACATAACTCCTGTGCTGATTCTCCAGCACTCAGTAATCAGGCCTATTGCTGAGCATCAATAAATCCTATGACCGCCCTACAGATATATACAGGATTCACTTTTATTCTCCTACATTGATATGAACATGGATAGGAAGTCCCAGCTGTCTTTGTTTCACACCTATAAATACCTTTGCTCAATTTGAAGTGAGCACCATCTATACTCAATTCTATGTGAGCACAAGATGTACTTATTCCTAAGTGAGCACAAGAGATACTTAATCCTAAGTGAGCACAAGATAGACTTAATACTAAGTGAGCACAATATATCCTTAATACTGAGTGAGCACAAGAGTCATGCATGCAGAGCAAGGATGCAGTGTTACACAGGCCAATAAGCCAGTCTGCAACCTTCACCAGGTAAGGCAGCCAAAGCTGATTAATAAGAAAGATCTTATTTGTGATCAAGCATCCACGTTGGGCGCAAATTTTGTTACCCCTCGGTACTCGAGAGGCAACAAAAGGATGGATTCTTGCTCGGGGAATCCCTTTTGTTGAATTTCCGTATTTTCCACGATCGGAAAATAGTTATTTAGAATACAGCTCAGGGAGAGGGGTGGGTAAAATAAGTTGAACACTGAATTTCGTGAATGGCAACTCTCAAGTGACGTTCATTTAGTCTGATTCATCAATGATCTAAGGATCTAGCACGGAACCACAGAATAAAAAGGTCTGTTGATCTGTGACAGAACCACGAGTGGTCATCCGGCAACACTGCTCGTACAAACGCTGACAACTGACAATTGCGATGCTTCCACTTCAAATGTCTGTCACGTTCACGTATCAATTCATACGTCAAATAGCAAAGGCAACCATATTCTTGTAAACAACAATAATTAAACCTGATAAACATGCGAGAACAAAATAATAATTACGTGAGACAGATGATTTGGATGAATTATTCTTATCGTCCTATTCAATCATTGATCCAGCTCAAGGATCCAAGATAATGATGGCACTCTATGAATCTCATTACATAACTCCTGTGCTGATTCTCCAGCACTCAGTTATCAGGCCTATAGCTGAGCATCAATGAATCCTATGACCGTCCTACAGATATATACAGGATTCACTTTAATTCTCCTACATTGATATGAACATGGATAGGAAGTCCTAGCTGTCTTTGTTTCACACTCATAAATACCTATGCTTGATCTGAAGTGAGCACCATCTATACTTAATTCTATGTGAGCACAAGATGTACTTATTCCTTAGTGAGCACAAGAGATACTCAATCATAAGTGAGCACAAGATAGACTCGATACCAAGTGAGCACAATATAACCTTCACCAGGTAAGGCAGCCAAAGCTGATTAATAAGAAAGATCTTATTTGTGATCAAGCATCCACGTTGGGCGCAAATTTTGTTACCCCTCGGTACTCGAGAGGCAACAAAAGGATGGATTCTTGCTCGGGGAATCCCTTTTGTTGAATTTCCGTATTTTCCACGATCGGAAAATAGTTATTTAGAATACAGCTCAGGGAGAGGGGTGGGTAAAATAAGTTGAACACTGAATTTCGTGAATGGCAACTCTCAAGTGACGTTCATTTAGTCTGATTCATCAATGATCTAAGGATCTAGCACGGAACCACAGAATAAAAAGGTCTGTTGATCTGTGACAGAACCACGAGTGGTCATCCGGCAACACTGCTCGTACAAACGCTGACAACTGACAATTGCGATGCTTCCACTTCAAATGTCTGTCACGTTCACGTATCAATTCATACGTCAAATAGCAAAGGCAACCATATTCTTGTAAACAACAATAATTAAACCTGATAAACATGCGAGAACAAAATAATAATTACGTGAGACAGATGATTTGGATGAATTATTCTTATCGTCCTATTCAATTATTGATCCAGCTCAAGGATCCAAGATAATGATGGCACTCTATGAATCTCATTACATAACTCCTGTGCTGATTCTCCAGCACTCAGTTATCAGGCCTATAGCTGAGCATCAATGAATCCTATGACCGTCCTACAGATATATACAGGATTCACTTTAATTCTCCTACATTGATATGAACATGGATAGGAAGTTCTAGCTGTCTTTGTTTCACACTCATAAATACCTATGCTTGATCTGAAGTGAGCACCATCTATACTTAATTCTATGTGAGCACAAGATGTACTTATTCCTTAGTGAGCACAAGAGATACTCAATCATAAGTGAGCACAAGATAGACTCGATACCAAGTGAGCACAATATATCCTCAATACTGAGTGAGCACAAGAGTCATGCATGCAGAGCAAGGATGCAGTGTTACACAGGCCAATAAGCCAGTCTGCAACCTTCACCAGGTAAGGCAGCCAAAGCTGATAGATAAGAAAGATCTTACTTGTGATCGAGCATCCAGGGATGATATGCCAATGTTACTCCAACCCCGTTGCAGCTAGGATTGGTTAGCTTATACCTTGAATATTTTTACATATAGGGACAATTCATATTGGTAGGGGTTTGGGGAAGAGGCCACCAAAACCAGGGATGGTTTGAGGGTAGGCTCCAGGACTTTTCGAAGCAACTCCACAGGTACTGAAGGGGTGATAGGAAGGCCTAAAATCATTGATTATGTTGGTAACCGGACTGACAAAAGGAATGATTCCTGAGAGGCTTACCTTGGATGGAATGTGGCCTATCTGAAGGTTTCGACAAGGAACTGGTGAGTCAGGAGGAAAATATTATAAATCCACACTGTGTTGTGAAAAAATCAACTTAATGATTGATTCTCCTAATATTTTCCAAGTTTTCCATTTTGGCTCTCGAATCTGCAAATTCTGGTAATATCATTATTTTAATACATTGAATGATTTTAGGGGTTACTATCCTGCGCGAGGAGAGCACCAATCCCAGAGCTGTTAGATACCGCAGGATTACCATACTATATCTGTTGTTATAATATGATACTTGGAAAAAGATGCAAATAAGTGTAGGGTTTTGTATGATATATCTGAATCTGGCACCATTCTCTCATCTTAATGCATAAATTAGTAGATTTCCCATTTAGCTCAGAGCAGGTACTCTTGGATCGTAACACAACGGTGTAGTCTTGTTGAGCGAAATCCAGCTGCATTTTCTCATTAGGCCAATATTCACCATTTAGGGCTAATGTGATACTAACTATGCTCGTGTTATCAAAGTGGGTAGCATCAGCTTCTTCATTGTCACGTTCAGATTTCTGGAAGCACACAATAACGTACCGAGGACGTTCCACCGAAGCACTCGTTTTGACTGCCCAAATTTCACTTTTTGCGCCGTTTGTAAGAGCAGGCAATTGTCTGAGGTCCCATTTCCTGAATGGAATCAGTATAGGTATATCATTTTCAATGGGTTGCATCAGTTGTAGTTTGATATCATCGTTCGGAAATACGTGCTCCACTTTTAGCACTACACTATGTATTTGTACTTCAACTGTAGTAGTAGTAGTAGTGGTTGTAGGTCCATTGCAGAGTTCCTGTACAATTACGAAATCGTTATCATTACGAGCTCGAATCAGTCGGATTGTTTGTTTTCCATAGGTGATTGAGGTGTAGTCATTGAAAACGTTGAACAGGTGCTTTAGTGGTATCAACAAACTGAATGTCTTGTCAATTGCATTCAAAAGCGGTTTATCAGGATACGTCCATCCAGCTGTGGATAAGTGTTTGGAATCATCAGGTTTATAGCACATGAATCCTCGCACACTACTCACGATCCCTGAATCTCTGACTACTTCTATCTCTCTTGCACTCTGCACATAATTGCAAGAATCGAATAGAAATGTTCCACAGTTGGAGGCCAAGTACACATTTCCAGCTTCTTGCACATTCAACGTTCCTTTGATTTCTAGCAAAGACTCATGCATTGCAAAAAATGTGTCTGCTTGATTTATGTTGATTTCCACCATATCATTGTTATTGAAGGATTTGACGTATGGGATGTAGGAGCGATATTCTTGTTTTCGAATGGTTTCATCATATCTGGGTCGACGATACAGATCAAAAATTGGGTTCGTGTAGTTGGATGTTGGTGCTGTTGATTCTTCCGAACGAATATACTTGCGCTTGATCATTTTTCACTCGTAATCCGATTGCTTGCAGAGAGAGAACGTTTTCTGAAGTGAGCTCCTGTCTCTTCGGAGGTCGCGTTGATACTGAGGAGTTTGTGGTTAATCTTCTATTATCAACTACTAGACCCATTCAACGTTCTTGCAAGTCCAAGTGTAGGGTGCCCTTTTCTCCTCGAAAATTGACAGGTCTTAGGTCCTGATCCAGCACTCTAACAGTAATGTTAGTGATGTCTCTGAGGATACTTCTCACAGGTGAACAGAGAGGGGTTTTTGGACGTTCGTTGATAGCGTAACCAGGATCTACGGTGATGGGAAAGCTTAATATAGTGTGAGCAGGCCTGTCTGCATAACACGACCCTTCAGTAATGTTGCAATCGAAATGTAGGCTCGATACTTCCAGAATGTTCACAGGACGATCTGAACAGTGAACTCGGCCAGGTTCCAAGATCCTCTTCGAGAATCCCAACAACTCACCAAAGCTGTTATCTTCCTCAAAACTGATGGTATGTTGTCGACTATAGATTTCACACTTCAAAGTATTGTTGTTGGGCTTCAAAGTGAAATCTGCATCAGCTTCTTGAATTTGTCTCTGACTGTAATCCTCAATATTTTCTATCTCATTACAGCTGGTCGGACACTGAATCTCTTTCAGCACTTCACGATTATCGTTCTCGTAGTAGTAGAACTTTCCACCATCAATATTTGTTATGGAATGATAGCTGTGAAATCCTAGTACAGCTATGTAATAGCTTTTCAGAGGGTGCAGTAGTATCGGTGAGGAGGGTGTGAAAGAGAACTGGTTGATAGTACTCGTCAAGGTCAACAGTAGAGACATGACGTACCTAATGACACACAGCTACACTCATGAATATTTATTCCAAGCCAACTCTACACTTCAAAAAATAATAACAACCATGACATTCAAACTGTGAGCTGACCAGTCCATCAACGTGGGTTCGAGCATCAGGTCTATCATAGTGGATGTAACAAGGCAAACGAATTCTCGGATCAAAGTTCTTCCTATAGTCCTGTGGTAATCTATGCCGAACATCCAATAGTTCCCAAGGTCTAACATGTTGGATCAGATAGTTGATGGGGAAGAGTGCCAATTCTTCTGCGAAAGAGTATTGCAAGGTCTTCTCACGGTGGAGATATTCTAAAACGGCTTCCATTGTACACGAACTCCAGACAGAGATTACCACAGTTGATTTGCTTATATTTTTGGAATGGATCGTTATTGTAATTGAGTTTGACTCTGCCCAGATATTGGACAAGTTCTCTTGGTGGCTTCAGGCTACCAAATGAATCGAAATACTCGACGACATCATTTATCTTTCTGTAAGCTACCCAATGAGTGCCTTGGTTCTTTGACACGTCCAAATTTAGGATTGCAGATTCGCGTCGACGGGGTCCACTGCTTGTTAAGTTGTCACGCATGAAAACACCCCGAAAATGTGGGATTCTCGAATATTTAACATACTTTGTCAACTCGACATCATACAACGGTCGATTGGGTAGCTTCATCGGGAGTTTTTTTGCTTTTTCTAAAACAAGCCAAAACCTCCTTTGGCGTTTCTTTCCAAGTACGGTCCTTTTCCAATAGTTTCCATAGCCTTGTTATGTCGATGGTCTCCTTTCATCTTTTTCTTCGCATTCCTAGCGTCAATGACAGTCTTTGCGATTGCTCCAGCACCTCCAGCTAGAGATCCTAGTGCACCAAGAGCAGCCTGTTCCAAATTGGTCGAAGGATTCTTCTTCAACGTCTTCCCGATTTTCCCAACGATATGTTTTTTGGAAGGACATTCAATCCCGAGCTTGTGTTTCACCTTCATCCCGGAAGTTACTACTAATGCTGCAGCTCTTTCACCGAACTTGGCGTCTCTCGACCTCACGCGTTCCCAGGCAGCGTTTTCCAACACCAAATCCGCTTTATGACGTTCTTCCAAAGACGTGTTCTGTGAATATACAATGTCGTGTTATCTGCAGGCAACGTCTAAGGGATTGATGCCAGGATCACCACGTGCAAGCCGTTTCTGAAGTTTGGTTCTAGCTGTTACGTAAAATCAGTTATCCATCTCTAACCTCACTTTTGTACTTACGTCCACAGTATTGATAGCCACCAGGTAGGTGTACCTCGAATGGTAATTTGTTTATGAGAGAATTCAAAATACCCTCTCCCTTGTACACAATCATTGGAGTCTTTGCACCTCTTTATACCTCACGATATGAAAGTCATTCAACAAGACCAGATGCTACCTATCGAAAATTTGGACCTCCACACGTCACCAAAGACACCGAATAAATATGGAAAATTATTACCCAACTTGTTCCGAGCAATCATGTGTGGACCGAATGGTTGTGGCAAGACAAACGCCATGCTATCGTTACTCTTCAATTGAAATGGCGCGAGATTCAAAAATGTCTACGTGTTCTCCGAGTCATTGTATCAACCGAAATATCAGCTACTTCAAGAGGTGTTGGATGCAGTAAAGGAGGTTGGATATTTTCCACTCAGAGACAACGATGATATAATAAGCCCATCTGAGGCGAAATCCAACTCGATTATCATATTTGACGATGTGGCATGTGATGAGCAACGAAAAATTCGAGAATATTTTTCAATGTGTAGACACAAAGATATCGATGGTGCCTACCTTTGCCAAAATTACTCTTCAATTCCTAAGCAATTATTGAGAGACAATTGTAATATGGTGGTGCTGTTCAAACAGTACGAGATCAACTTGAAGCATGTGTTTGATGAACATGTCTCTCCAGACATGAGCTTTGACGACTTTAAAAAATTGTGCTCCGAATGTTGGAATGTCACATATGGTACTCTAGTGTTTGTCAAGGATTTTGATTTGCATTATGGCAGATATCGCCAAGGTTTCGACAAATATATAAGAGTGTAAACACGTCATTCGACATCATGAGGTCGTCAAGTCAAGTCATGCGCAGAAGAAAAATGTCATCCAAACGTGATGACGATCAGGCTGCAGCACGTAAACGGAAAATTGCAGAGCTCACGCGCACAATCAGGAAAAAGTACTTGCCCTTGACACTGGGTACATCTGAGAAGGACGAATCGCTGAACAAAATGTTCAAGCCAATATCCAAACCATTGGAAGAAATTGTGAAAACGTCAAAGGCCAATCGTGATTTACTAGCAAGAGCCCAGTTCAGCACCAGTATGAAGAACGGAGAGCCACCTGAACTGAAAAAAGAAGAAGAACAGCCTCAGCAAACGCAAATTATTCTAATGGAAGAGGTAAGTGGAACCGGAAGTTTTGTGGATGATGATCAAAACGAATATGATGATGATATCCTGTTCAACGAAAATATTGCTCCAGAACAAAGTATTCCGTATGATGTAATCGATGAATACCTAGACCAATACCCAGTCATGGTGCATCCATATCTCAGAGAACATTGGGATTACAGCGACAGAATAGATCAGATATATGGTCCACCTTACGATTCTCAAACGTCGAAATGGTTTCTGGGAACGCAGGAAATTGACTTTGATAAAAGAACTGGATTCATAAAGATTGGAGGTAAACAAGTACGAGGAACTCCATGGGTGTATCAGCTCATTTTCTATGATGATCCTTCAGATTATAACGATAAAGATATGCAGGCTCACAAGAAAATTTTGAAGCTGAGTGATCGCTATATAAACAAGGATGGGAAATTGAAAGGGTCTGAAAGATGGAAGTATACGAACGTCATCAAGCCACTTATTGTACAGATGCGAAAAAACAGCGGTAGGCGTTCAACGATTGGTAGTGGTTTGACGTACAACGAAAACCCCGTGGAATATATATCTATTGGGACGATCCAAATGAACTCGTAGACCACTTGGAACTACTCATTGCTTCTAAGGAAGCTGGAAACACATCACGTTAATGAACTTCGTGAAGCTAACCTTATATACTGAGAGTCATCAATGATGAGTTTTGACAAGTTCGGTCGCAGATCAGCTGGCAGCAACGGTAACATTATCGGATTAGTCCGATTGAAACATAAACTCGTCCCATTGGATAACATCATCAGGCAGTCGACTGATACATTGAGAATGATTGAGAGCAAAATAAAGGATATTGAAAAGTTTATTTCGAGACATCCTCCAACGGAACATATGGCTACGAAAGATTATATAGATGGTGTTATTTCACGAATAAGATCTGATTCCAGGTTGGCTGAGAGAGCTGTTGACAGAGAGGAGATATTGAATGAAGAATCGATGGAACAGACACAAATCACCACCAATGAGATGAAAAAATTGACATATAAATAGTTGATATACCGTTATGGCTTCGAGAGACAAGATTCAACTTGTTAATGAGCTGCATGCTCCAGCTTGCGAGAATTACCCCAGACGACGAACCATAATCAAAGGATTGGACGATTTATGGCAAATGAATTTGGCTGAAATGAGACCGTATGCCCATCAGAATGAGGGATATGAAATGATTCTGGTAGTGATTGACTGCTTTTCCAAGTACCTCTGGACACGCACACTGAAAACTAAGACAGGAGAAGAGGTTGCCAAATCTTTCACCGATATATTGGTACATGCAGAGCGCATACCAGTAAATCTATATTCTGATCAAGGAACGGAATTCTTCAACAGCAAGTTTGAAAAATTGATGAAAAAATATGACATCAACCATTACAACACATTCAGCATTAAAAAGGCTGCCATTGCTGAACGAGTAATAAGAACGCTGAAAAACAAACTATACAATTATTTCAGTCCGAATGGCACCTACAAATGGATTGATACATCACGTCAGATCATTGATGAATACAATAATACCGAGCACAAAACGCTCTCAGAAGGAAATGAGAATCATATCCGGAAAAATTGTGGAACACTATGGGCACTACGAAGGACTTGCGGTACCCCAAATTACAAGATTGATGCGCCCATCCCCTGAAGGCACCAGTGAAATGATGGTGGTCTTTAACAATGATATCAGTGCCCGCGAACGCTTTTTCACAGATATGACAGTTTGTTACACCAACCTTTCCTGGGAAATGAGTCAGAGGAACAATGTCTTCGATTTTAGACTGTACAAATTTCGCGACATCTGCCATTTCTGCGGCAAACCAATCCATGCAATCAGGACCTCGATGACTCTCATAATAGGACAAGCTATCATCATATGAGCATTTGAATTAGTACCCTGCGCTGAAGGCTGTGTGTTTTTGATATTATGCGATTTTTCGAGAAATTTTGTCATCACAGTGCTCCAAAACCGATTCAAAATCACCGTAGATGATGAATTCGGCTTTTTGCTTATAAATGTGATTTTTGAAAACAACCGAATCGTATTTGGGGAGAGAAATTTTGCATTCGTTGATATTTTCACATGAAACACTGTGCTATAACAATTTGGACTCGCTTGAAAAATAATTTTGAGACCTATCACAGATTTTTTTTTTTTCGATTTATTCTTACTTAGTTGTGAAGATAGTAGTCTGAGTAGTGTACCTACGTTACGTTCGTGTGGTAGGAGGTGTTGGCTGCACGGAAGTGACGTCACAAGATGGCCGCCGGAAGTGACAGATGACAAGTGACAGATGACAAGTGACAGATGACAAGTGACAGATGACAAGTGACAGATGGCAAGTGACAGATGACAAGTGACAGATGACAAGTGACAGATGACAAGTGACAGATGACAAGTGACAGGTGACAAGTGACAGATGACAAGTGACAGATGACAAGTGACAGATGACAAGTGACAGATGACAAGTGACATATGACAGATGACAAGTAACAGATGAAAAGTGACAGATGACAAGTGACATGGAACACAAGGAGTGACAGATGGCATGGAACACAAAGAGTGACAGGTGACAGACACGTAACAGATGACAAGTGACAGATGACATGGAACACAAGGAATGACACGTGCAAGTACTCTGAACTTAGCCCCTAGACTCTGGACTCTGGACTCTAGACACTAGTGCTTATGGGCGTGTTCTAGGACATTTTTCTTCTTATTTTTGAAAGATGCTGGATGACGTCACAATCTAGTGACTTTGCTCACCAGATTTAGGTTGGTATTACTACAATTGGTAGCACTTTGTTTCAAGGTCACCCGATATGCATGTTGCAGGTGGTCGATGAGTCATCCTTATCTCGACTTCGTAGAACAATGCCGCCTTTGTTTGCCATATGTTATCTAGCCTTCCTCTAGAACAATGCCGCCTTTGTTCTCTCAACGCCACTGTCAGCGTTTCTTGGAATTCCGGCTATTGGGAAATTGCGACGCAATATTATACGAGAACAGTGCCGCCTTTGTTTGCAGGTGTCCGATTACGTAACAACCTCATCCGATTGCATCATCCTTAACTGTGAGAGAACAATGGGTCCATTGTTCTGACGCAGGTGGCCGATGAGTCATCCAACAGACATGTTCAAACTTGTTGTTGTCACGAGCCATTCAATCATGGATACTGGATGTGTTTGCCGAATCTGCCCAATAGCTTATATCAGCTGTGCGCATGCGTAGCTACCACTACCACTATTCAGACTTGACCTTTGAATCTGTGTTACAATGTGCTTGGACGAGTACAGAAGCAAGTTGAAGGAATTTGGGGAGCGGGTTCGACAGCTGAACAAAGACATAACATTGTACGAAGATAAAACCAGAGTATTGAATCAATTGGAGAATCTGAGTTTGTGGGATAAAGTTTTCAGCAGCTGTGGAAGAGTACCAGCAGTAGAGGTGCCTGTTGAGCAGAGACGACACATCCAGCCTCAAAATGTCACGGGTGGCATTCATAGTTCTGACAGCAATTTTGAATAACGTATTGTATACAAATGTTCCCAACGATGTCAAGAACATGGCGATATGTTTCAATGACTCGAAAGAAGATTGCAATCGATCATCGTGGACAGCGATGCGAAATAAGTTGGTGAACAATGGATGTCTACCAGTATTCTACAAAGAGATACCAGAGACGAATAATTCCTTCTTCAAACTCAAGTTGATGTTTTCCGGTGGATCTGAAGAGGATACCGACTGGCAAACTATAGGAGCCCCCACAACAGGAATACAGAATGAATTTAATAAAATGTTCATATTACTAGGTTTGACATTAGCAGCTACGTTCGTTTTGATTGTGAAAGGCCTAATGAAAGCTGGCTACATATATCTTGAATAAAATGATTGAACTTATACAAGGTGTTTCAATAAAACTCCCATCCTTATCATAATGTTTATTGAGCCAAACACAGTACATCTTCATTTAGGTAATATTACATTTATAAACCACTGGTAAAGTTGATCAACGTTCCGCTGGGCACACATATATTTTCCATTGGCGTGGTTGGGGCAGTACGATATAGTTTGCTGGTAGGTTTTACTGGAACAGGGTGTTCCATCATACAAAGCAACATCGTATACAGTTGGGAATACTTCAAGTTCTTCACATTCCGTCTTCAAAAAGTCAGCTTTCTGATTACCCCTCACGTACATACATTCAACCGAATGCAAGAGATATTTTTCCAAAATGTTGTTTAGTTCCGTATATTCAACATCACCATCATCATATGGTATTCCATGAACGAATTTCTCCACATAACATGTAGTTTTCTTGTCACGTCCACTAATGGTAGCAAACGGTGTAGGCGGTTTGAATAGGAAGTTGGATCTCTGGCGGCCAATTTGAATGGTCAGCTCTTTCGGGTGGAAAACACTGTCAAGAGAGAAGCCTTGAATGTCGACAAGTGCGATCCTCATGACGGCTGACGATCGAATGCGAGCTCGAGCAGTTTGCAGTTGGTATTTATACTCAAATCAAGGTTCTGACGACTTTCGTTAGAGGGAAGTACTCTAGCAGACAGTCATGTACGATGATGCAATAGGCTTTGGTGTCAGCAGGAAATCCTTCATCGGCTTCGATTTCAAGCTTTATATCAACTGTCGATGATTTCATGGTCTCTTCCTGCCTCGAGCAATCAATCACAAATAATGCATGCTGTTTGAATTCCCCATAATCCAAGATTGGGTGAACCTCCGTCGAATGTGAATAGCTAGAATAGAACCTGGTATAGTTGTAGTAAGCAAGGTTGTAGTCTTGTTTAGCGAAATCCAGCTGCATTCTCTCATTGGGCCAATATTCACCATTAAGGGCTAATCTGATACTAACTATGCTCGTGTTATCAAAGTGGGTAGCATCAGCTTCGACAATGTCACGTTTAGCTTTCTGGAAGCACACAATAACGTACCGAGGACGTTCCACCGAAGCGCTCGTTTTGACTGTCCAAATTTCAATTTTTGCGCCGTTTGTAAGAGCAGGCAATTGGCTGAGGTCCCATTTCCTGAATGGAATCAGTATAGGTGTATCATTTTTGATGGGTTGCATCAGTTGTGGTTTGATTTCATCGTTCGGAAATACGTGCTTCACTTTTAGCACTACACTATGTATTTGTACTTCAACTGTAGTAGTAGTGGTTGTAGGTCCATTGGGGAGTTCCTGTACTATCACGCAATCGTTATCATTACAAGCTCGAATCAGTCGGATTGTTTGTTTTCCATAGGTGATTGAGGTGTAGTCATTGAAAACGTTGAACAGGTGCTCTAGTGGTATCAACAAACTGAATGTCTTGTCAATTGCATTCAAAAGCGGTTTATCAGGATACGTCCATCCAGCTGTGGATAAGTGTTTGGAATCATCAGGTTTATAGCACATGAATCCTCGCACACTACTCACGATCCCTGAATCTCTGACTACTTCTATCTCTCTTGCACTCTGCACATAATTGCAAGAATCGAATAGAAATGTTCCACAGTTGGAGGCCAAGAACACATTTCCAGCTTCTTGCACATTCAACGTTCCTTTGATTTCCAGCAAAGACTCATGCATTGCAAAAAATGTGTCTGCTTGATTTATGTTGATTTCCACCATATCATTGTTATTGAAGGATTCGACGTATGGGATGTAGGAGCGATATTCTTGTTTTCGAATGGTTTCATCATATCTGGGTCGACGATACAGATCAAAAATTGGGTTCGTGAAGTTGGATGTTGGTGCTGTTGATTCTTCCGAACGAATATACTTGCGCTTGATCATTTTTCACTCGTAACCCGATTGCTTGCAGAGAGAGAACGTTTTCTGAAGTGAGCTCCTGTCTCTTCGGAGGTCGCGTTGATACTGAGGAGTTTGTGGTTAATCTTCTATTATCAACTACTAGACCCATTCAACGTTCTTGCAAGTCCAAGTGTAGGGTGCCCTTTTCTCCACGAAAATTGACAGGTCTTGGGTCCTGATCCAGCACTCTAACAGTAATGTTAGTGATGTCTCTGAGGCTACTTCTCACAGGTGAATAGAGAGGGGTTTTTGGACGTTCGTTGATAGCGTAACCAGGATCTACGGTGATGGGAAAGCTTAATATAGTGTGAGCAGGCCTGTCTGCATAACACGACCCTTCAGTAATATTGCAATCGAAATGTAGGCTTGATACTTCCAGAATGTTCACAGGACGATCTGAATAGTGAACTCGGCCAGGTTCCAAGATCCTCTTCGAGAATCCCAACAACTCACCAAAGCTGTTATCTTCCTCAAAACTGATGGTATGTTGTCGACTATAGATTTCACACTTCAAAGTATTGTTGTTGGGCTTCAAAGTGAAATCTGCATCAGCTTCTTGAATTTGTCTCTGAATGTAATCCTCAATATTTTCTATCTCATTACAGCTGGTCGGACACTGAATCTCTTTCAGCACTTCACGATTATCGTTCTCGTAGTAGTAGAACTTTCCACCATCAATATTTGTTATGGAATGATAGCTGTGAAATCCTAGTACAGCTATGTAATAGCTTTTCAGAGGGTGCAGTAGTATCGGTGAGGAGGGTGTGAAAGAGAACTGGTTGATAGTACTCGTCAAGGTCAACAGTAGAGACATGACGTACCTAATGACACACAGCTACACTCATGAATATTTATTCCAAGCCAACTCTACACTTCAAGAAATAATTACAACCATGACATTCAAACTGTGAGCTGACCGGTCCATCAATGTGGGTTCGAGCATCAGGTCTATCATAGTGGATGTAACAAGGCAAACGAATTCTCGGATCAAAGTTCTTCCTATAGTCCTGTGGTAATTTATGCCGAACATCCAATAGTTCCCAAGGTCTAACATGTTGGATCAGATAGTTGATGGGGAAGAGTGCCAATTCTTCTGCGAAAGAGTATTGCAACGTCTTCTCACGGTGGAGATATGCTAAAACGGCTTCCATTGTACAGGAACTCCAGACAGAGATTACCACGCATGAAAACACCCCGGAAATGTGAGATTCTCAAATATTTAACATACTTTGTCAACTCGACATCATACAACGGTCGATTGGGTAGCTTCATCGGGAGTTCTTTTGCTTTTTCTAAAACAAGCCAAAACCTCCTTTGGCGTTCCTTTCCAAGTACGGTCCTTTTCCAATAGTTTCCATAGCCTTGTTATGTCGATGGTCTTCTTCCATCTTTTTCTTCGCATTCTTAGCGTCAATGACAGTCTTTGCGATTGCTCCAGCACCTCCAGCTAGAGATCCTAGTGCACCAAGAGCAGCCTGTTTCAAATTGGTCGAAGGATTCTTCTTCAACGTCTTCCCGATTTTTCCCACGATATGTTTTTTGGAAGAACATCCAATCCCGAGCTTGCGTTTCACCTTCATCCCGGAAGTTACTACTGATGCTGCAGCTCTTTCACCGAACTTGGCGTCTCTCGACCTCACGCGTTCCCAGGCAGCGTTCTCCAACACCAAATCCGCTTTATGACGTTCTTCCAAAGACGTGTTCTGTGAATATGCAATGTCGTGTTATTTGCAGGCAACGTCTAAGGGATTGATGCCAGGATCACCACGTGCAAGCCGTTTCTGAAGTTTGGTTCCAGCTGTTACGTAAAATCAGTTATCCATCTCTAACCTCACTTTTGTACTTACGTCCACAGTATTGATAGCCACCAGGTAGGTGTACCTCGAATGGTAATTTGTTTATGAGAGAATTCGAAATACCCTCTCCCTTGTACACACTCATTGGAGTCTTTGCACCTCTATATACCTCACGAGATGAAAGTCATTCAACAAGACCAGATGCTACCTATCGAAAATTTGGACCTCCACACGTCACCAAAGACACCGAATAAACATGGAGAATTATTACCCAACTCGTTTCGAGCAATCATGTGTGGACCGAGTGGTTGTGGCAAGACAAACGCCATGCTATCGTTACTCTTTAATCGCAATGGCGCGAGATTGAGAAATGTCTACGTGTACTCCAAGTCATTGTATCAACCAAAATATCAGCTTCTTCAAGAGGTGTTGGATGCAGTAAAGGAGGTTGGATATTTTCCATTCAGAGACAACGATGATATAATAAGCCCATCTGAGGCGAAATCCAACTCGATTATCATATTCGACGATGTGGCATGTGATGAGCAAAGAAAAATTCGAGAATATTTTTAAATGTGTAGACACAAAGATATCGATGGTGCCTACCTTTGCCAAAATTACTCTTTAATTCCTAAGCAATTATTGAGAGACAATCGTAACATGGTGGTGCTGTTCAAACAGTACGAGATCAACTTGAAGCATGTGTTTGATGAACATGTCTCTCCAGACATGAGCTTTGACGACTTTAAAAAATTGTGCTCCGAATGTTGGAATGTCACATATGGTACTCTAGTGTTTGTCAAGGATTTTGATTTGCAGAACGGCAGATATCGCCAAGGTTTCGACAAATATATGAGAGGGTTAACACGTCATTCGACATCATGAGGTCGTCAAGTCAAGTCATGCGCAGAAGAAAAATGTCATCCAAACGTGATGACGATCAGGCTGCAGCACGTAAACGGAAAATTGCAGAGCTCACGCGCACAATCAGGAAAAAGTACTTGCCCTTGACACTGGGTACATCTGAGAAGGACGAATCGCTGAACAAAATGTTCAAGCCAATATCCAAACCATTGGAAGAAATTGTGAAAACGTCAAAGGCCAATCGTGATTTACTAGCAAGATCCCAGTTCAGCACCAGTATGAAGAACGGAGAGCCACCTGAACTGAAAAAAGAAGAAGAACAGCCTCAGCAAACGCAAATTATTCCAATGAAAGAGGTGGGTGGAACCGGAAGTTTTGTGGATGATGATCAAAACGAATATGATGATGATATCCTGTTCAACGAAAATATTGCTCCAGAACAAAGTATTCCGTATGATGTAATCGATGAATACCTAGACCAATACCCTGTCATGGTGCATCCATATCTCAGAGAACATTGGGATTACAGCGACAAAATAGATCAGATATATGGTCCACCTTACGATCCTCAAACGTCGAAATGGTTTCTGAGAACGCAGGAAATTGACTTTGATAAAAGAACTGGATTCATAAAGATTGGAGGTAAACAAGTACGAGGAACTCCATGGGTGTATCAGCTCATTTTCTATGATGATACTTCAGATTATAACGATAAAGATATGCAGGCTCACAAGAAAATTTTGAAGCTGAGTGATCGCTATATAAACAAGGATGGGAAATTGAAAGGGTCTAAAAGATGGAAGTATACGAACGTCATCAAGCCACTTATTGTACAGATGCAAAAAAACAGCGGTAGGCGTTCAACGATTGGTAGTGGTTTGACGTACAACGAAAACCCCGTGGAATATATATCTATTGGGACGATCCAAATGAACTCGTAGACCACTTGGAACTACTCATTGCTTCTAAGGAAGCTGGAAACACATCACTCGATAATGAAATAGTGGCAATCGTTAATGAACTTCGTGAAGCTAACCTTATATACTGAGAGTCATCAATGATGAGTTTTGACAAGTTCGGTCGCAGATCAGCTGGCAGCAGCGGTAACATTATCGGATTAGTCCGATTGAAACATAAACTCGTCCCATTGGATACCATCATCAGGCAGTCGACTGATACATTGAGAATGATTGAGAGCAAAATGAAGGATATTGAAAAGTTTATTTCGAGACATCCTCCAACGGAACATATGGCTACGAAAGATTATATAGATGATGTTATTTCACGAATAAGATCTGATTCCAAGCTGGCTGAGAGAGCTGTTGACAGAGGGGAGATATTGAATGAAGAATCGATGGAACAGACACAAATGACCACCAATGAGATGAAAAAATTGACATATAAATAGTTGATATACCGCTATGGCTTCGAGAGACACAGAAGATGCATGCCTCATCAGTGTTCTTCACATTGATACAAGCACGCTTTTTGGAAATTTGTTCAGGTAGTGCAATGAATGATGAACCATTGCCAATTTCTAATTTATTCACATTAACCTCTAAGGAAACAATTTCTCTCATGGCCCAGCCACTACCCTTCTCGTGGAATTCCGGAAGTTTATTCACTATGGTATCAATCACATTTTCCGCAAACCAACGATCTAAATCCGTTTCCTCATCCATTGTAGCATTCTATGTATTGAAATATCTGAATTCAATAATCTCCGCGTC